TTGAGTGACATTTGCTTTATTCTTGGTCAACCAATTTAAAGGTAAATCTCATTTAAAACATTCCAATAGAAACATCAGAATCATCTTTGCCCAAAGGTCTGGGTTCTGTGGCTTCGTCATTAACACATAAAATTAACCATCACAACACCACCTTGTCATTCTGCCCAAGGCACCTATACATAAGCCCTAAAATCATGCTAGCTCTCCAAGTAGAGAGAATAACAAGACCCTACTGCCATGTAACATGTGCCACCTGAAACGCATCAGCCCTGTCTGGTGAATGTGGTTCTTCACCTGGAGGGTGATGTATACCTTCATTTCTGAGGGTTCTGATCATTAGTAGTCCTGCTGGATTTGGTTGTTGTAGCTTTCTATTGGCTAAATCACAGGGCAGGGTGAGATCAGGAAACACCCAACAACTGGGCACCAGTGACTCACCTATAGTCCCAGCTACTCAGGAGGCAGAGATCAGGATGATTGTGGTTCAGGGACAGCCTGGGCACATAGTTCTCCAGACCCTGTCTCAAAAAAAAAAAAAAAAAGACTACTGGAGTGGCTCAAGGTGTGTAGGCCCTTGGGTTCAAACCTTAGCACCAAACAAACAGACAAAAAAAAGCATGCAGATAGAGGGGTTCTCCCTGGGTCGGGCAGGAAGCTCCATCCTCTGGCCTAGGGCCTAAGAATGGGTCTGGCCTGGCTGCCACAGAGAAGGGAAGGGATGAAGGACTGCTGTGGCCTGCCTCTGGCATGTGTGACTGCCTCCTCTCTGTGCAGGTACATCTGCAGCTTCTTTGTGCTTTGGGCGACTGGTTCAGAATCTGTTCTCTGGCCCACTGGATTATTCTCTGTTCTGCCCCTTACTGACCTCACAGTCCTCAGGTAATTGAATAGATGTCATCTTGGGTCACTCCCAGCCTCACTTCTGCTTCCTGGTCAGGATTCTCTCATTTCAAGTTTCATTCTGAGTGTGTGTGTCCATGCATGTGCACATACATTGTCATAAGAGATTTCACGACTACCTGGCATAGCCCTTAACTTTCTTTTTGCTGTTGTCTCGTCTCATGTAGTACTCAGGGCCTCACGATTCCTAGGCAGGTGCTCTACCACCTGAGCCACTCCACCAGCCCCTTTCTGTGATGGGTTTTTTTAAAGAAAGGGTCTTATGAACTATTTCCCTGGGGATGGCTTCAAACCATGATCCTCCTGATCTCTTTCTCCTGAGTAGTTGAGATTATAGGCATGAGCCACTGGCTCCCAGTTCAACAAAGATTTTTCTGAAGATAAAACAGTGAGAAATAGAAAGGAGAAGGGCACCCCTGACATACAGAGCTCTGAAATGCAGCATTGAGAGCCTGCAGCTTCCACACTTGTCTTTCAAAGCTTAGTTTCTCAGCCGAGCTTGGTGGTTCGTACCTATAATTCCAGCTACATGGGAGGTTGAAATCAGTAGCATTGTGGTTCGAGGTCAGCTCTGGCAAATAGTTCAAACAAAATAACAAAATGGACTGGAGATACGGCTGAAGCGGTACAGTGCCTGCTTTGCAAGTCCAAAGCCCTGAGTTCAAATCCCAGTCCCACCAAAAAATACTTAGTTCCTCTCCACTCTAAGACCCATGAGAAGTTTGTGAAGACAATCTATGCTCACACAAGCAAACACATACTCACAGATATTATATAGATGTATATAAGATGGATGTATTTATAGATCTGTAAATTTAAGGGATAGCTGGGTACTGTTGTCATGCCTGTAATCCTAGCTACTTAGGAGGCAGAGAGCAGGAGGATAGAGGTTTGAGACCAGCCCTGGCAAATAGTTTTTGAGACCCTATCTCAAAAAAAAAATCACAAAAAAGGGCTGGCAGAGTGGCTTAAGGTGTAGGCCCTGAGTTTAAACCCCAGCACTGAAAAAAAAGAAGAAGAAGAAGAAGAGTGTGTATCTCAAAAGATAGCAGAGATAATTTTTAAAACTTATTTGGGCTGAGTGTAGTGTATGATCTCTGTAATCCCAGCCACTTGGAAGGCAGAGATTGAGAGGATCAAAGTTTGAGGGCAGCCTGGGCAAAAAGTTCACAAGACTCCATCTCCCAGCTATGCAGGACAGCTGAAATAGGAGTATCGAGGTCCACACTGTCCTGGGGAATAACCATGAGAGGCCCTGTACCCAAAACAACAAAAGCAAAAAGGGCCAGTGCCATGGCTCAAGTGGCAGAGCGCTTGCCTAGCAAGCACAAGGCCGAGTTCAAACCCCAGTATCATCCCGAAAAGCTTTATATGTACTGAAGTGGAAAGATTGCCACAAGAAATTGTCATAGCAGTTGTTACAAAGGCCACCTGACTAGGGGAAGAGATGAGAGAGAGTGTGATGCTTTAGAGTCTACGTTTTTTACTGTTGATTTGTCATGGAGTCTCATGCTTGTCTCATTCACAGGATTATAGATTTGGGCTATGGTTAATATGGTTTGCCACCTCTGAAACTCATGTTGGAGTTTAAAAAATATTGCCAGGTATTAATAATGGGGCAATTTGTAGCCAGGTGTGGTGGTACATCTCTATAATCCCAGCTACTTGGGAAGAAGAGGAAGGAGGATTGCAATTTGAGGCCAGTCCAAGCAAAAGGTTTGCAGACATTATCTCAAAAACAAAAGAAAAGCAGCTGGGAGTGTGTCCCAAGTGGCAGAGCACCTGCCGAGGAAATGCAAGGTCATGGGTTCAATCCCTAGTACTGAAAAAAAGTAGAAACTTTAACTGTGGTACAGAGGTAGGGCCTTTGGGAAGTAATTAAGATTAAATAGATTCATCAAAGTGAGGCACATGAATACTGGTGGCTTTATGAGAAGATGCAAAGATCAGAACACATATGCATGTTTCCTGTCATGGTGTGACCTCTCCTTGTCCATGTTCCCACTCTCACAATGCCATCTGCTGTGAGGTGATACAACCCAGGGACCCTCACCTGGACTGGTGCCAGGCTGTTTGTACTTTCCATTTCCAAAATGAACTAAATAAACCTTGTTTTTTTTTTCTTGGTGGTACTGGGATTTGAAGTCAGGACTTCGCTTGTGCTAGGCAGGTGTTCTACTACTTGAGCCACACCTCCAGCCCTCTTTTCTTTATAAAATACCCAGCCTCAGACATTTCATTATAGTAACAGAAAACAGGCTGATAAAGACATGTAACAACAGTATACTCCAACAAAGTAAGACACACTTTCTTTTGAGTTACACACTAACAGAACAGCATAGCAGCTCAAACTTAGAGCTACACAAGGATGCTTGCTCTCACCAGTTCTACTCAACACAACAGTGGAAGTTTCTAGCCAAAGCAACCAGACAAGAAAAAGGAAGAAAATGTATCCACATTGGAAAACAAGAAAAATCACCTTTGTAGATGACATGGCTGTGTGTTTTATTATTTTTGGTGGATTAGGTTGTTAAACAGTGGGTCATATTTTCCAATGTCCACGCTCTTGCTTGTTCTTTCTCAATTAAAAATTTATTTATTGGGCTTGAACTCAGGGCCTCACACTTGGTAGGCAGGCACTCTATGTTTCTAGCCATTCCACCAGCACACACACACAAAAAAATTAAATACAGGCTCTTTGTGTGTAGTTCAGGCTGGCCTTGCACTTGTGATCCTCCTGCCTCAGCCTTCTGAATGCTGGTATTATCGGCATGAGCTCCCACACCTGGCTTTCCCTTTGATCTTTTCTCCTCCCCCTAATTCACTGTGCCTCAGCTGTACAGGTTCGGAGGTGCTTTTGCATTTCCTGCTCCCTGTGCCTGGAGCTCTTACCCAGATGCCTGCCTATCAGCACAGCTGGCTCCTGCACCCTTTACTCAGGTCACCCGTGGGGCCTATCCTGTCCACAGAAGCTGCAAACTAGGGCTGGAGACGACTCCAACGGTTGAGCGCCTGCCTAGGAAGCCTGAAGTCCTGAGTTTTCAAACCCCAGTACTGCCCAAAATTTAAAAAAAAAAAAAAAAAAGTTAAAATTGCAGGTTAGGCACCGGTGGCTCACGCCTGTAATCCTACTTAGGAGGCAGCGATCAGGAGGATCACGTTTGAAGCCAGCTTAGGCAAACAGTTCGCGAGATCCTTCTCAAAAAAACTCATCACAAAAAAAGGACTAGTGGAGTGGTTCAAGGTGTAGGCCCTGAATTCAAGCCCCAGTACCACAAAAAAAGAAAAAAAATTAAAATTGCAAATTTCTTTGTTGCACGCTCCCCTTCCCCTGCATTATTTTTCTTTGTAGCAATTACCACCACCTAATGCACTAGTATAAAATTATTGTTTATTGGCTCCTCCACCTGTCCCCTTGAGAAATTTGAGGACGGACTTAATCCCCTCTTTGTAAATAATGTACAAAGACTGAGCAATTAAGCAACATATGCGAGGTCACAGACACGACAGTTAGCAAAGCTCGGATTCCAACTCAGGTGTGCCAGAGAAGTGGATTCCATTTTTGACTTTTGGGGTCAGTTACGCTCAGCTGTACAAAAGGCGTTCGGACCAAGCTGTCACTTTTAAGTTCCTTTAACTCGAATACTTGTGACATCCTACGATCCCCGGAGGGATAGGAGGCATCGCTGGTTTTTGTTTTGGTTTCTGGAGGCCTCGATTCGGACCGGCTGGGAAGCGTCGCCTGTGCCCTAGGCTCCGCGGTCCTGCATGCTTTCCCGCCTCGAGTCGCATCCCGCGCCATCCCTACACAGAGAACCGGAAGCGGAAGCAGGGAGAGAAAATGCCAGCTTCTCCTCGGTTCCCAACGCGCCAGGCCGGCACCGCAGCGTTAGTCTCAAGGCCACGGTCTTTCTCTTGTCCTCGGAGGGTCGCCCGCTTACTCCTTCACTAAGGCCTTATGCCTTTCTTCGCGCAGCGTGGGTCGTACAGCCCGCTCTCGAAACCCGTCTAAACTTTGCCCCGCCCCGGAAGTGACGCCACACACGTGCGCCGTGCGTGCGCTCGCGGGGGCGGGGGTGGGGCGTGAGCGAGAGGCGGGGGCGAAGGTGGGGAGTGGACTGGCAGAGCCCGGAGCTACTCGAGCGGCGCGGGGAAAGCGGCGGTCCGGACGCCAGCGGAGCAGTGGACAAGGTTCGAAGCGGAAGGACTGGGCCAAGGGGTGGCGCGGGTCTCACCCCCGGAGCGGGGCAGTGGCGTCCCGGAGCGGACTGCTGGGTCATGGGTCCGTGCCGTCCACCTCCCGGGGTCGGTTCGCGTCGGCGCGTCCCGCCGCCTCAGGCCGCCGGCAGTTGGCTGAGTCTCCTCAGTGCCGAGCGTCTCCGCCTCTGGCATTCGTGGCAACTTCTGTCCGGCCCAGTCCAGCTCTGATTGACCGACGCGGACTTTTACAGGCAACGCCGGCTTCTCTCCGTCCGACCCTCGCCGTCCCGTCCGCCTTGGCCGAGAGAATACCGTGGGCGCGGCCCGCCGGTCCTCCAGGACCGACGCTTGGTGGGGTCCGGGGCGTCCCGGATCCGGGAGGCGAGGCGGAGGGCGATGCCGCGGGCTGGGTCGGTAGACGTCCTGGGAGGACAGCCCCGGGATGCCCATCGCGGAAGTGCGGTGGGGAGACGAGGTCACAGACAGCCGGGCTGGCTCCGCCGGTGACCGCGTCTGTGGTTGGGAAATGTGTCACTGGGTGCGCTGGGCTCCTTTGCCTTGCGTATGACTCGTGAAATGCATTCGGGACCACTTTCGAGCATCCCCTGAGGAGTAGCTTTTTGGCTAAAGGGTTTTGATCACCATGGAGGGTACAAATGATTGTACTTTTTGCCTTTTAAACCTAAAACTGCTTAAAAAAAAAACCAATTAAGATTGTGCCAAGAAAGTTTGCCTGAGGTGCAAGAACATATGATTGTACTGGAGAAGTACTAGTTAGACTTGGTCAGGCACGCGTTCTGTCACCCAATTGCACCCGCACGCCCCGTGCAATCTTTAAGTTACTGGTTCTGAGGGGAGGGTTAAAAAGGGATCATAGCCGGGTGCCGGGGGTTCACGCCTGTAATCCTAGCTATTAAGAAGGCAGAGTTCAGGAGGATCGCAGTTCAAAGCCAGCGTGGGCAAATAGTTCACGAGACCCTCTCGGGGGGAAAAAAAAAAAAAAGCCTTCATAGAAAAAGAGCTGGTGGAGTGGCTCAAGTGGTAGGCCCTGAGTTCAAACCCCAATGCCAAAAAAAAAAAGGGGGGTGGGTTCGTATTTGAATTTTTACTCATCTGGGGAACAACATATTTATGCTCCCTAGAAGTTAGCCAGTTTAGGAGACAGGGAACAGGATTTGGCTCAGTGGTAGAGCGCTTGGTTAGCATTCCTCAGGCCCAGGGCCCTGGAAAAAAACAATTTCAATATAAGATGGTAAAGGAAGTGTCTGCTGAGATAGAGCCCGGAGGGCCTGGATACAGGCTGTCTGGCTGGGTGTGGAGGGTGGGAAGGGGGACCAGGGAATACTTTTTGGAAGTGTCTTTTTTTTTTTTTTTTTTTTTGGCGGTACTGAGGTTTGAACTCAGGGCCTCAGCTTGCTAGTCAGGCACTCTTATCACTTGAGCCAGTCCAGCAGCCCTGTTTTGTTTTGTGTTCGGGTTTTTTGAGGTAGGGTCTGGAGAACTATTTGCCCTGGCTGGCTTTGAACCTTGATCCTTCAGATCCCTGCTTCCAAAGTAGCTAGGATAACAGGTATGAGCCACTGGTGGTGGCTCTGGAAGTGTCTTGAATGAGTAGTCCTCAGACTAATGGTGGGGTTTGGTAGTTGAGTGGGAAGGTGGGGGAGAAGGAGGCCGCCCTATTTCAGGAAGAGGGGGGTCTTGTTGAAGTGGAGGGGTGCTGTGTGCTCTGTGGTTAAAATGAAATTTGGTATAGCTGCCCTGTGCCATCGAATTGTGCCTGGTGTAGTGCTGGATTGCCTACTAATCTTGTATTTCAATCTTCTCTGTTTATTGTTTGATTGGAGTCATGGGCTCATTTACTGATTGTGTAAGGTGGTCGAACCAGCTAACTTGTAAACTTCTATAAGCAGGAATTCTGCTTTTAGCTCTTTTGATTCTCAATCTGAATTGGCTACTCACAAGTGTTCAGAGAACTTGATCTGATGAAAATAGTTCATGGATTTTTCTCATTCTGATGTTCGTTTTCAGTGGAAAAGTTTTCTGATTAGTATAGATGACTAAGATCTTGTTTCATTCACTCCCTCTCAGTCTTTCATAGAGACATAGAATGTCAGTCTTGCCTGTGTGAGTTCAATTTCCGTCATGTGTGTTTTTATTGGCTGTAAAGTAAGCATCTCCATCCCTGGGAGACATCTGTGTGACCTAACACCTGTGACTTAGAATGGACTTAGCCCATCAGTAAAGTTGTCACAGTAAAAACAAGAGTTCACAGTAGAAACCAGACATGCTGAAGTTTATAAAGTCTGTCACAAAGCACTGGAGGAGCATTTTGCAGCTGTCTCATGTGGGTGACATGCGCTGAATGAGCTAGGCTGTTGTTACTGGTGGCTTCTCTTTATTTCCCTCAGTGTTATTTAACTAGTATTTTATTTGTTTACTGTTTGGATAAAGTTCCTAAAATGCTGCAACTGAGAGAGACCCCATCTCAGAATTAAAAAAAAAATGAGAGAGAGAGTGACTATGGTGCAAATACTGTGTACACGTGAATGTAAACAGAAAAAAGATAGCTGTTGAAACTATTTCTTGAATGGTGGGAGGTAAAGGAGAATGATGGAGGAGGTGAATTCAAGTATGATATATTTGATATATTGTAAGAACTTTTGTAAATGCCACAATGAAACCCCTCCCAGCATAACAATAAAATAAAAAAATAAGAAAAGTTGGGGATGTGGCTCAGAAATAGCCCTTGCCTAGCATACATGAGGCTCTGGGTTCAATTCCCAGTACCATAAAAAGAAAAAGAAAAAAAAAAAGCTATACTTTTATGGTACTGTCCCCAATTTCCCTAGAGATTACTATTTTTGATGAAGTTACTGTTGGTGAGGTAGGAAGTTACTGAGAGGACCACCAACCAGGGTTCTGATTAGTTACATGTAGTTAAAAGTCAGAAGTTAGTACACTGGTAAGTATGCGTTCATGAATAGGTGAAATAACTTGTTCCACACTAAGGGGGTCAGACCCAGGGCTTCAAGCACGCTGCTCATGTGTGCTACCACTGGGTTTCATGGCCAGCCCTGAGTCTTTTTTGGTGGTACTGGGATTTGAACTCAGGACGTTGCTTCTAGAGCCTCTAGCCCAACTCTAGCCCTGACTCTCAAGGATATTATTTTCCTTGAATGACAAGGATATTTCTGACATCTCTGAAGCAGAGCCTTTGGGGTTCTGAATTCCATCTTGTCTCACCTTAACAAGTGTTAGCATCCTTTGTGCCAGCCAGGCACAGGCCAGCTCAGGAAGAGGTGCACTGGTTTTCTTGTTTCTTTTTCTTTTTCTTGTTCTTCTTCTTTTTTTTTAAATGAACCACTTTTGAAGCTAGTTCAATTCCCATTCAAAATAAATGCTCAAATTGCACTTATGATGATTTTATCTATATTATAAAAATTAAAAGGGCTTTGGGGGATTTTTTACGAAAGGAGATGTGTGTAATTTTCTGTGCTCTCAAGTTAAAAATACATAATGTTTTATTTTTGTAGTTCCTCTATAATAAGTAGTTGCTGGAGTTTTTTAAGTTTAGACATGTCTGCTGAGGCAGTCTTTTCTTTTGGAAGACACTGGAGCATATTTTAAAAGCCCTTAGAAATTGAACTCCAAATGTTTATCAATGGACAGAATGTCTTCTTACCGTGCTATGATTTTTAAGAGGAACGTTTCAGAAAGACCTTTACAACATACTGTTGGTAACCTACAGAGATAAGTGAGTTAGGAATTCAGGATTGAGAAGATTCAGCCAATTCAGAGAGAAATGTAGTTGTTTACATGATTCAGGGACCCTAGGAAACAGATAAATCTTTGGAGTTCCAAAGATCCCTTGTCTGCATGAGGAACTCCTCAGTAAACACAGCTCTAAGTAAATACAGTTTGCGTTTCAAAGGGCTGTGTTGTGTTCCATGTTTTAGTGAAACTCCCCCTCCTCCTTGTGTAGGCTGGTCACATAACATCAGAACGTCATTCAGTAAAAGTGGTTCTGTACTACAGGTTGATGTGATCCAAGTGTTCAGGTCTGGAAAGTGACTAAGGGTCTGTGATAATCTGGAGGCGTAAGTGGATTGCACACTCCTGACCCTGCCTTCTGTAAACATTTAGAGTCTCATGAATTGATCATTTGTGGGACTGGAGTTTGTGCTTTTTCAGAGGTCCCTTGAGTACATCTGTTTCACACTGGCTAATCTGCGGACCATGTGTTTTAACAGGCATGTCTTATCACAGGGGACTTGAAGGAAAGCCACTTCCATCCACATGGTTTGGGGCTGAGGGAACACCAAGCAACATAACCAAGGTTCATTTCCAGAAGGAGGTTTTTGGATGTTAGCTCTAGCACAGAGAGCATTAGCTCAGAAAGCCCAGGCACATAATCTAATTTTCAAACTGAAGAGTTGCCCTTTCAAGTCATAATAGTTCAGATTTTTCTATTGCCAGCATGGGCCAGGCCCAGTGCTAATAGAGACCATTCTCACCCCCCTTGCTTAGTAAACAGTGGGCAGGACTGTCCTTGCCTAAATATAGCTCTGCAGTGTTTGGTTCCTTAATGACATTTCCATAGAGCTTTGGACATTGTGTTGAAAATGTGTTCCTGAAAAATGACTTTGGCTTGGGATCAAAGTTTTGAAGAGGATATTATAAAGAGAATGCAAATAAAAATTAGAAGCACAAAAACAAAATTATAGGCTAATGAAATCGACTGTGTACATTTCATCACAGGGACTGGGGATGTAGCTCAGTTGTAAACTGTGCTTAGCATGCACAGAGTCCTGGGTTCCATCCCCAGCATCACATTAAAAAAGAAAGAAAGAAAAACAAAACTCATCATAGTCAGTGTCTTGGGATGATATGCTTGGTGCCTGCTAAGCAAATTGGATTATATATTTTTTTTAATCTGTAAATTTGTTAAGCCATTGTGGTTGGGGTTCTAGTGTGTAGATTTTGTCTAGGGT